GAACAGTTAATACAATGTAGCAAAGGGCAGTACAGGACATCACAGTTTTGAGCTGTACTCTATGGGAGAGTACTGTGTACAAATGGACAAGAGAAAGCATAGTACAGGAGAATATGCAGAACTGGACAGTCAAGTATAGGACAGGACAATACAGACCTGCACAGTACAGCGTTGGACAGTACTAATACAGAAGACGATGCAGTGTCCAGTGTCAGTTACAGGTCTGAGAGGTGATCGCTTGCCAGTGCTGTTTCTGCACCCTCTGAGATATTGGAGCCATAGGAAGAAACATGAACCCCTGTACTTTCAGCCATGCCTCTTGATCATATAGCACATGTACACATATATATATATAGACACTCCATGGTCATGTGAAGACAGGCTCAGCTGTGGTTTGACTAGTGTTTATATCCTGCCTTGGTAAACCAGTAGAACATATACATGCCTTGACTGCTGTCTTGCCTCTGTAGTGCCTGTCAGGCTGGAGTCTGAGTGTATTCTTGCTGTTCTGTCTTTTGATAGTATTGCATGTTTAGTATTCAGTATTTCTAATGCACTCTTTCTTCATTTTGTCATGCATACAAACTTTTATCCTGGGGCACACGAAGCACAAGATGTTAGGCTTGCTAATTACATCTTATTTGGCTAGTTTCACACAGGGAACTTTAATTCCTTCTTTCTCTTTTTCTGTTTTGCTCCCTGCCTCACTCTCATTCTCTTTTTCTATACTTCAACCTCTCTCTTCTCTCCATCTCCTGTACTACATATCCATCGTTCTCTCTAACAGGCCCGCTCTTTTTCTCTCTCAATCTTTTCTGTCTCTCTATACCCCTGTCTTTCTCCTCTTCACCATCTCTCACTCTGTCTCTCTCCCTCTGCTTGTCTCTTTCCCTCTCTGTCTCTCTCTCTCTGTCTCCACTTCTCTATCTCCACCTCTCTGCCTGTCTCTCCCTCTCTGTCTCCACTTCTCTATCTCCACCTCTCTACCTGTCTCTCCCTCTCTGTCAGATTCAAATTAAAACAGCATTATTGGTATTGACTAGTAAAATACAGAGTGTATGCAATCAGCACGACATCTGCAGACATTTCTAACACAAAAGACACCATAGGACATTTCTATACAGCCTACAACACATGGAACATTATTGAGAGACAGGTTCACTGTTGCTCAGGCTGTGACAGGAGATCACGTACTGGACTGGCAGCTCACTTGAGTTCCCTTCCCTGTCTCTCTCCCCCTCAATGCAATTCAACCAGCTTTATTGGCATGACTGATTAAGTAAAGTGTTGCCAAAGCAGATACAATTGACAGAACATCTACAGACATTTACAATACAAACACATCATAGGACATTTACATACAGCCTACAACACATGGGACATTATTGAGAGACAGGTTCATTGTTGCTCAGGCTGTGACAGGAGATCACGTACTGGGCTGCCAGCTCAGTTCTCTCTCTCGCTCTCTCTCTCCATCGTCCTGTTCTGCCGTCCATCTCTCTCTGTCCTCCCCAGTGATTGCGTTGTGTTGTGCTGGGGGTAATTAACAGTGCAGTGTCAGTAAATCAGGGCAGGGGACCTGGGAGCCTCCTCCTCCTGCTCGGTGTGTCATTACCTCATTAAATTAAATGGCACCGTCGGGGCTGCAGATGCTGTAAATCAGCCCCCTGCGTGGCTCTCCTGCCTGCACGCTTTGTTCTCGCTGCGAGCTCACAGCACCATCCTACCAGGTGTCAGGCTTTACAGAGGTGTCCCGGAAGGGTGATGAGGTGATTTTAACCCTTTATCTGCTGCTGCCCGTAGACCTCACTATCGGCACCGTGTGGCTTCAATCACGCAAGTCACTAACGCACCAGAAATTAAAGTCTTTCCTGTCAGGAATGAGTATATTAAATTAGAAGGGCAGTCTTTGGCAAAGCAGTATAAATGGACAGCACTGTGTGTTACAAGCAGTGTATATATACTGTATGTATATTACATACATCAACAGAGCAATTAACAGGAACAGGCTTGACACATGCATAATATGTGCATGGTCCCCATGCCAAACAAGAAGGGAGCAGCCTCAAACACAGCGGTACTTGGTACACTATAGCTTAAACCTTGTGCATCATGCAAGGCCTGACACACAGACTAACGCAGAAGACGGATATTTATACCAGAGGTATACAGTTAATTGTGGCCAAAGTCTCACAGTTACAATGTTTATGGTTGTGGCTGGGGCACAATGTTTATGGTTGTTCATTTTAAACCACTAGACCTCTGGGTAAAATTCCCAGTGGGAATCCCTGGAGTGTCGGAGTCTCTGACGGAGTGTGGCTTTAAGACCCAGCCTCAGTCCGCACTGCTGGGCCAGCTGGAGGCATTCTGATCGTGTTGGCTAAACAGGTTGATGGACACCTCAGGCTGCAAGGGCCGGATAGCGTTTCAATCCCGTTAAAACTGCCGACTCGCTCGGAATTCTCCCACTCGGAGTGAAGGACAGGATCGCTGCTGTTAAACGGCCAAGAGGCTGAGCGGGACCTCCAGGTCATTACCGTGGTTAGAGCCCTGTCAGTAACCTTATATCACAGGCAGAAAGAGGGAGAGAGGCCTGTATCTTTATATACTGTATGTACCTTATGTACTGTATATACATGGTCGCCATCTCTTACACATCTCTTAACAGCTACAGTGTGTGGAAATGAGTTTGAGCATCAGCACAAAACCATGAGAACAAGCCAGAATCCTTGTAAGTGATGGGCATCTCTCGTGCACTAAACACGAGTTTGGAATGAGACCCCTTATAACAACAGACTTCCATTTAAAAAAACAAATGACATACACCATCTTAAAGTAAAACTGACCTATCCAACAACAAGAAAAATGAAACGAGGGCATTCTGCCTTTTTAGTTGTTCAGGTGGGTAGCTGCGTCAGCACGCGTAGTCTGCAAAGGAACAAGTGATAGGTTTATTCCAGGCTGAAAAGAGAAGAGAGAGAATACAACGTTTCGGCTGTGAAGCCTTCTTCAGGCTCATTCTGCCTTTTTAGCTTGTTTAGATTTTAGTGGCTAATTGATGCAAAGATACTATCCAACCAGTTCCTGAAAGAAGCTGGGGAATCAGCTTTGGCTGTGTGGCTGGGCAGCTTGTTCCACGCTCCTACCATCCTTTGTGTACAGACATGCTGCCTGTTCTCAGCTTTAAATGCCCATCTACTTACTTCCCGTTTGTGTCTCTGGTTCATGTTTCACAGCCGCTTCTGAAGAAGTCTGCTGTGTTGACTTTGCCAGTGCCTTTCAGGATGTGTCCTCCAGCAGTGCAGTGTGTCTCTGCCCAGTGTCTCAGTGTCCCTCCACCCAGCTCACTGTACCAGTGTAACACGGAGGAGCTGTGCATTCTATATTAACATTGAATTAACAATGCAAGACAGACAGCCATGCCGTGAGACCCAGAGCGGAGACAGCATCCTCACACAAACACGCACACAGTGCTGGGAAAGATGAGGTACTGGGAGAGCTACTGGGATAAGAGAGGGAAATGATGGCAGAGGAGGCAACCAAACCTGGTGTATGGAGGGGGTTAGGAGGCAGACAAAGCTGTCACCTCACTCCGTTTATATGATTCTCGGGGACCCCCTCAGAAAGCAAGACACAACTACACACCAAGACAATGAAAAAACTGAAAGCTAGTCCTCTTACTTTCCAGAGGGAGAGAGAGGGAGCTGTAGAGCAGATAGGGAGTGGGGGGCAGGGGGGGAGAGTGGGTGCGTGGAGCCTGGGGTTCGTTTTGACTGTCAAGGACTGGAATCTGTGAAAATCCATCTGAGAAACTTAATAAGCTTAGTGGCACTGGCAGGCAGGGCTGAGTCCTCAAATACTGAAAACCTTCCTGTGGGTTTAGTGCCAAGAGCTTAGTGCTGACAACAATGACAGGAGAGGAGGAGAGGAGAGAGGACAGGGGAGAGAGAGGGAGAGAGAGGGATAGAGAGCAGTGAGAAGGAGGCAGAGAAGAGAGATAGAGGGCAGAGGGGAGAGAGGGATAGAGAGCAGAGGACAGAGGAGAGAGAGGGATAGAGAGCAGTGAGAAGGAGGCAGAGAAGAGAGATAGAGGTTAGAGGGGAGAGTGGGATAGAGAGCAGAGAGGCCAGAGAAGTGGACAGGAGAAGAGAGGGATAGCAGAGAGGAAAAAAGTGTCAGAGGAGAGAGAGGGATAGACAGAGAGGCGGTGGGGATAAAGAGGATAGGGGTGGAATGAAATGATGGAGAAGAGGGTAGGAAGAGATGAGAGGGGTATAGGATTGGAGTGGGGAAAGATGGATTGCTTGTGGTGGGATTTGTACTGAGGCGAATTGTACAGCTCATGATCTTTACAGAGGCAGCATGATGGGATTCTGAGGGTGGGGTGATGCCTTAATTGTGTGGCATTCGATTGTCTTGCTCTCCATCACCTTCTGATTCAGTGGGAATTAAAAGGGTAACGCATGAGAAGAGGCTTTTAGGCCTATCTAACTTCCCGTGAGTGTGATATGATCCAAGGATCTCGGCCATTTCTTAAAAAGAGCCAAGCTGTCAGCTTCATCAGCTTGTTTGGGTGGCCTGTTCCAAACCCCTGCAATTCTCTGTGTAGAGAAATGCCTCCCGTTCTCAGTTTTAAATGCACTTCTTCACTGTTTCCTCTTGTCCTCTGGTTCCTGTTTCTCTCTTGATTCTGAAGTCTGCTGGGTAGGCTGTCAGTCAGCCCTGGAGGATTAAGGGCTTTGAATACTGGGATCAGGTTCCCTCAGAAATGAATGTGATCCTCTTTATCTGCAACCTTTTTTTTGCAATGATGCATGACCTCTGTCTCTGGGTTTCTGTTGGCGAGACTTTCTGACAAGTACTTCCAGAGAAAGTCCAGACACAATCTGAGTAACCAGCAGAAATCTGAAGTAGACTTTGAGACCTAGGGTGAGTACTGATATAACAAGAGGGTATGAGCCAGCTATTAAAGCACATCCTCGCTCTTTTTCTCTGTGCAGGCAGTATTAACCGGCCGGGGGCAGTCCCCGCGTTTCTGCGGACCCCTGCAGTGATCCCCCACTCCCTGGACATGAAGCCCTTCCTGCAGTTCCCCCTGGAGACCCCACCACCCCACAGTGTGGGGCTCTTCCACAACTTCAGTGCGGTAAGTGCCTGCATGGACTCGGTCTACACAGTCGGGGTCCACACCTTTTCCTCCTAGATTACAGGCCCTCCAGAGCTGAAACTCATGAGGGCTGGCAGATGTAGGATTGTCAAGTCAAGATACATGCAGGAATCATAAGCTCAATGCGGGGGAGTAACTCTGAAGAGTGGGGTTTTTGGGATAGCAGGAGATGTACTGTATGAAGATGTGGAGACGAGCTGCTGTTAAAACGTGCCTGGCCAGGAGTTACACGGCGCAGTTTTCAGGTTGGCCAGGAGAGTGCGCTCTGTGAGAGGCTGTGAATTCAGTTTGGATGATTATCTGGTCGGATCTGTTCTCTGCCGTGCAGCACATCGACACTGCTGTAGTAGTAAGAATAATTTGAGTACTTCTGGCATCTGTAACAGAGATTTGGTTCTGGCAGTAATTGCTATAATAATATAATTATGCACTGAAAAAGGACTGTAACGTCATTTATATTATTAGAGTACTACAATCCATTGCATCACCCATATATCCCTATGCCATCTCAAAATATTACTTAATATTTTGGAAAAATATTGGAAAAATAAGCTTCTTAATTTAGTTTTCTGCATTGCTCAAGGAAAATGTCATGCAACTGACTTGAGCGTGCCAACTCCCTGCCTTGGGGTTCTGTGCCATTTGAGGGTATACAGCACAAGTCAGTTTACACGCAGGAGGTCCCTGATCTGTCAGAGCCCTTGAGCCCTTCAGATTGTCTACGGCCCCGGGGGGCTGTTCTTTGTGAGTGTATTACTGGTGTTATCTCTGTCAGAGAGCAGGATAGCAGTCACTGGTTTTACTAGGACTCAGGGGGACAGTGAATGGGTGTGCAGAACTGGATCATTAAAGGGGATAGCAGGGTGCACAGCTCCTGTCCTCACTGCGATGAGTGGGGGTTGGACCCTGGACCCAGACAGATCTGTGTTATGTCCAAACCACCTGAGCAGCCTCCCCCCACCCCCCCGCATCAGAGAGATGAATAGATAGCTTGGTACTTTCAGTGTATGAGCCACAGTGGATCACCAGGATAGAGAATATCCTGGTTTCCACGGTGTTAAGCAACAGAAAATGCTGGTCCCCATTCATTGAGATGGGTGGACTGGAGCTATCAGGGTAAACTACCCTGCAGTGAGAACCTACAACCCTACAACTCAGATAGTGAGCCCAGAGACTTAACCACTACATTACAATGACCTCAGAGAGATAACTAGCGTCTTAAAATGACTGTTTGTATGATTTAATTGCAAAAAACATGCCCTATTATAAGGGTCATTGTAAAACAAAATATTCAAAGAAATAAAAATAAAATAAAAGAGATTCAACATGCATTTCATGAATCGTCATTGCACAATCAATCCCAGGGTACTGTTCATACGAGTACACGAGGCACATGAGCTTCTTAACTTGGCATGATGAGATCAGCAGGGTCTGACAGTTACCCTGGAGTAATTTGTAAAACAAGGGTTGATCAGGAAGTATCCTCTGATCTTTCTAAACTATTACTTATGCAGGTTTTTGGGAGTCAAGGGGTATTAGTTGATTGAAGGGGTAAGGTAATTAGGCAGGAGGGGGGATTGATACAATGGTTGGTTGTTCGGCTGGCTCAGATGGGACACGGGTTATTTTCTTGGCCCTCTGGGCTCTTATCTAGACTGTTTAGAGTAATGAAGCCCAGTTCTGGGGGGGTCAGTGTGTCTGCAGGGTGTCCAGTCCTGGTCCTGGGGGGGTCAGTGTGTCTGGGCTCAGGGTGTCCAGTGCTTGTCCTATTGCCATAACCCAGGGTGTGTCTCTACATTGTTTGTCTCTGGGCTCTACAAGAGGCTCCGGATTTAAATACCTGGCTGATACCTTCAGTGTGGGACACTTGGAGTGCCCGCCTGTGCTTGACATGCACTTCAGCCAGTAGCACTGACGTCACTTCAGGCAGAGGAGAGTCCCAGGGATATCAGCGGGAGGGCTGTCGCAGGGCGGCCCCAGGGACTGCTGGGGGAAGGACCCCAGACACCCATCAGCCCCGCAGCCTCAGGGGGGGGGGCCTGCGGCCTCGGCTCCAGCAGCTCTCTCTGTGTGGGCTGGAGCCGGGCAGGGGGGTCAGTGGGTCGACGGGGCTGTTGATGGTCTGTTACGCCTGACTGGCGCAGATCCATGTCAGTGGGGAGCGGAGCCAAGCAAGCAGGCTTCAGTCATCACAACGGGGCTGAGTCCTCTTGCATGGTATTCAGTTCCCCATCGCCGGCTGCACGGGTGGGCTGGGCTCGTCCAGCGCCACCGGGCTCCAGGTGGGTCGTGTGAGTGTTCACCGAGGAGCGTCGGGGTCGAGCGAGGCCTGCGAGCGCTGGGCTGTGCAGTGGTGGCTGGCTGAGCGGTGGGGTCTGCTTGTGGCTAGCGGTGTGGAAGTGTGCGGATTACATGACAAGGGCTTGTTTCAGAGGAATGTCTGCGCTGTGCTCTTCTTCAACAAATATGTTAGCCGCTCTGGAGCCAGACCAAGTACATTCCCGAGTTTAAGGCAATGTCCTACAGTACATGAAAGAACTAAACTCTTTTACTGTTTAACAGAGGAGACGAAGAGGGGCTCTGATCCAAGTATTCCAAATCCTCAAAGGCTCTGGCAGATTAACCTGTGGACTTGAATAAACAGAGTAAGCAGTGAAAAACAAGCCAGCTGATACAAGTTAACATTTTGTGAAAGTACATTTAAAAGTGAGGCACTCCTTTACGGAAAGAGTTGTGGGTGTAGAGAACAGGCTGCCAAGCCTTCTTATTGAATCTGATACCCTGGCGTCCTTCCAGAAATTGCTGAGAATGCAGACAAGAGGTTGTTGACCGCAGGTCAACTGAGGGAGTGGAGTCAAGCAGGACCAGTTGGCTGCGGTGGTTGATTGTGATGTCCGTGCGGCAGGAGAGTGTGCGCGTGCATGAGGCGCTCATAGGTCGTCAGGGGCTCCGAGGCACAATTCTCACACTTCTCACACTGGTGATAATGACAGCA